GAGCCCTCCAACGGCAAAGGATTTTTTGGAGGCTGGTGTTTGTTGGTGAGGCACTGTTCTAGGCTTTGGGTCACAGCAGTGAAGATCAAAGTCCCTGTCCTTAGAGCCTATATACTAGTGATGAGAGGCGGACAGCGTGCAGACCACCGCGGCTGGTCTCGGTGTTGGCAGAACACGGCGGAAATGCAGGGAGATGCCCTGCAACGTCACTGCCCAGCCATGCCCTCCCTCTGTGTGGGAGACGACTCTTCTAGATCAGCCTCTCGTGAGGGCACAGATGCCAGAGCGAGAACTTGTGGTCGAAAGGGAAATGAGGAAGGAGGAGAAGGAAAAACTGAAGTCCAACCCTGACCCTGCTCGCTGGCCGTGAGGAGGTCACTGCCAGGGGCAGGCAGCTCCCCAACCTGGAGATGAGAAATTGGTCAATGGGAAGGATTGTCATCAGGAACATCTTACTAAGATTTTGTCCTAGCCCATCGCTGTGTTATTCGTGCTGCTCGGTCCTTAGCCTCAGGGCGAGGGGCCAGAGGCAGGCACTTTTAATAACCAGCCCTCATCGAGACAGGTGACGGCCGTCAGCTCCTAGACAAAAAGAAGGAGCTTAGAGGACGACCCAAGTGAGCAGGAATTAACTGCAAGCTTTACCTTTTTATGAAAAGAATGAGATTGTTGCCTTAGATTTGAGGTGCCTCCAGGGTCGCCGCTGGGGCTTGCGTCCTCAGTGTGTGATTGCTCCGCTGGGTGCCCGCCTGGTCTCCCCTCTTCCAGCGAGGACCGTCAGCGTTGGGCGAGCGCTTACCTCTTGCCCGGAAGTGAGAGGAACCAGGTTGGGGGGTAAGGGAGGCTTGGGGTGGGCGGCGGCGGGTGGAGGCGCGTCTGGGAGGAGCGTGCGGTACACGGTGTGTGTGTGGTGTCCTGCCTCCCGCTGGCTTTGGAAAGAGACCTCCTTCTAACAGGGACCCCTCTGTTGTTGTGGCTCCGAGCTCCGACTTGAGAAGCATAGTTTCCCAGTGAGGCCACTGGATTCCTGACGTGTGACACTCCGGGGCAGCGCAGTGAAGGGCGCTGTTGACTGCCTGGGGGCTCCCAGACAGGGACCCCATTGTGAGTCACCCTGAACATGTGAGCTCCCTCCCCATGACTGGCGCTATTCTTAGAACCGTTCTCTGCTCCGGGGGACAAAGGTCACTGGGACCACATTTGGGTAGGAGGATGGGGCTGGGCCCAGGAGTGAGGGGCGGTGCAGGGAGAAAGGAGGAAGAGGCGCTCCGATTTTAGGGTATGTTGGAGCCAGGGCGAGGGATGGAGCCCTGCGCATTGGGCAGACCTGCGCTAGGCAGCACAGAAACACCCTCTGGAAGAGCGGTCACCGGGAGTGCTAGACTCAGTCACTGTGGGGAGTCTGGGGCCTGAGCACTGCTGGGCCTGGGCCTGGGGCTTGGCCGTGGCTGGCGGATCTGCGCAGCCAGCCTGCGCTCCAGCCCAGAGCTGCCGCTGAGCCTTGGGTTTCCAGGTGGCCCCGACTCCCCTCCAGACCTGAGGGGAGAGTGCTGCGTTGCATGGAGACAGGCCCTGGGTGTCAGACCCCTGCCCCGCCCTGTCCCACAGCCAGTGGGCTGCTGGCCCAGCGCTGGTGGCTGGGAGAACAGCGACATGCCATGTCTTTCCTACGTCTCTCGCTCCCCACAACGAGAGGGGAAGCTTGGGGAGGGGTCCTGTGTTCTTCTTGTTTCGTACCGTAAGGTGGGCCTTCCGAGGACAGCGTGTGTCGGGTAGCCGGGGGCTCGCAGGACCGGGGGAGGGAGGCCGGGGCTCCCATGGTGCCCACATCCTGCAGTGAAGCGAACCAGTTTCTTCCCCGTCGAGCTCCTGTACTTGCTCCAGGCGCCTGCTTTTCTCTGTATCCCTCCTCTTCCTCTCGATATGAATTGACAAAAAAGAGTTAAAGAACCCACCTAGGACCTGGGTTCCCAGTGCCTGAATTTGACACTTATACATTCCTCTGGACCGAGAAAAACTCATGCCGAGGAAAAGAATCCTCCCGCAGGGACTCACCCTGTGCCTGGGCCAGACGCAGCGACATGGGGGTCAGATGTGCAGACAGCAAGGGCTGGAGCAGGGCGCGCACCCCGCGACCGTTTGCCATTTCAGTTCGGGACATGGCACCAGCAGAAAAAACAGGAGTAACAACTCCGTCCCGAGGGCAGGGGACGGTGGTGAGCCCTTGGGCTCTGCTCTGCAGGAGTTTTCTGCCCGGCCAAAGACGAGGGCTTGCCCAGGTGGAAGGACCCTGATCTTCTCCCTTTCCTCAGCCCGGCATAATCAGCCCAGTCTCCCCAAAGAGATTTTAAGATGAATAGTGTCATGAGAGAGGTGCTAAGGTACGTAGTGTGAGGGAGAAATCATGAGCGACGTAGCTTAACAGCCACCACGCGGCGCCTGGCCAGTTGGGCTGGCAGCGTACCTGCGGAGGGGGCACCAAGGTGAGGAGGCAGCGCGGCCACTAGCGGTCAGACCAGCGGGGAGAGCCACCGGCTGCCAGTGTCCACGACTGCCGTGAGAGGTGGGGAGGAGAAGAGTTGCCGAAGCCAGGCCCTTCTGTCCCTCGGATCACTGCGTCCCGACAGGCCGTGGAGGTGCCAGGTCGTGTCCAGGGCAGTGCAGTGTGGAGATGAAGAATGTGGGGGCCGGACCGCCTGGGTTCTAGTCCTAGTTACTCCGCCGCTGACCGGAATGGCCTCGCACAGGTTAGACAGACACGCAGCTTGTCCGTTTGCTCTGCTGTACCGTGGTAGAAACTAGCGTGACGGCAGCACCTAGCCAGGTGACTGGCGAGGACCAAGCGAGGTGACCGTAAGCATCGCGCTCGAGTGCGCCGCGTGTAGGTGCGCAGTCAGCCACGGCTCGGGTCAGCTGCTTTCTCTCTCGGGGTCTTAAAGCATCTCGCCCCTCACGTCCAAGGTCTGCAGTCTGGACACACGAGAGGCCTCCTTCACGTGGCTTTTGGGGTAGGTGCTTTTTATTTACGTGTCTCTACTCAGGGGTCCTGTCGGTTGTCCACAGTCGTCGTGAATTTATTCAAAAAACCTGTGATGCCATCTGGGCTCTTGCAGCTGCGTCTCTTAAGAGAGAGTTGCCCTCTTAGCGCCCGTGCCCGTTAGGGTGGTTTCTCGGTGCATTCCTCATGTAATGTCACGTTTAGTCTTGTGAGCCCAGGCAGGAAGCGGTGGCTGGTGACTTTTCTTAATTCTTCAGAAACCTGCAAAAGGATCCGAGCTGTGGGAAGTTAAGGCTTTACCAGTGTAGACCTCTGGGCTTTGCTTCAAACGTTAATTGATTTTACAGACTTTCCCTGAGTCACTTTATTTTGGAATACGTATAAGGTGTTTCTTGCAAGATGGTTTTAAATAGCTAAAGGTAAACTCTCAGAAAGATGAAGTGGAAATATTTCATGTTTTATATTTAGCTTGGGGACTGCTGAGGAAGAGCCCTGGAAGCCACCATGAGGAAGCGCTTCCTTTGGCTGCGGGACGGTAACGCGTGTCATGGCTGCCTCCTCGTGTGGTGTCGGTGCGGGGTGGCCTGGCGCCTGGAGGCTCAAGGCCTGGGCACCAGACCGGCACCACCATGTGCTGGCTGCGCTGTGGAGCAAAGTGACGTCACTTTTCCTCACCAGCAGAATGGAAGCAGCGAGACCCCTGTGCCCACCTCACAGCAGGGGGCGGGAGTGGGTTTCAGGAGCAAGTAAAATGATCCATTTGAGGGGGCCTTGCAGAGGAACAAGACATAATGACAGATCACTCTTACAGACCATAAAGGCTATTTCTTTCTTTAGATTGACAGGGAGCCTAAAGCTTGCTTCCTGTTGAACATCAGTTTACTATGGATCAGACAAATTTGAAACGTGGGTTAAGAGTTGGAGCTAGAACATTGCACGCTTCATTCATCTACGAGGACGGGGTCTTTTCCCAGTCCTGTTCTGTGCGGATTGTTTATGAGATGGTGTTATAAGGCACAGTGTGGACATGTAACAAGCAGCATGGACTTTGGCCCCGTAATTGTCTCTCCAGCTGCACCCAGAAATTACATAATAGCATTGTCGTTTCAGAATAGAAAGTTATCCTGAGAGGAAGTCTGTGGGATAGAAGTCCTGTAGCATAGTGTAAACTGGCTGTCAAGAGTATGGAAGTCCCTTTAGAGCCAAGGTCTTGGCAGTGCTGATAGCTAAGACAAGAGAACTGTGTGTGTGCGTGTAAGTCAGAATATACTGAACCCATGAAGAATTCCTGACAGTCCTCATCTGACCTCTGAGAATTTTCTGGGTGGCAAATTAATTCCTCAAATAGTTATGTTTTTTTTTAATCAGCTGAATTTAAGATTCATGATGATGCTTTTTCTTTTTCCCTTAAGTTTGGGTGTTGCCTGTATGTGGCCTGGGAAGGCGGGGTGGTGGTGGAGAGAATATGACGATCGAAAGGACAGCTGACGGTGATTTCCGTGTGCAGAGACCCAAGAGTAGTGATCCTTCCTACTCACAAGTCAGAGGCCAAAGTCTCCCTCCTGCAGAGGAGTGCGTATGAGCTTTGGCTTCTGCTTGGAACTGGCGAAGACATTCATTCCTTAGTTAATCCTTTTCTCACTTCTAAAGGCAGAAATCATGACTGGCTGTGAAGGCACAGAAGATTACGCTGCCTTAGAATATCTCAGAGGATAGGGTTTTCTTTCTAGAGTTTGCTTAGCAATAAAATGGACTGACCCTAAAGTCAATCAAAATAGAGCCATTTATATATTTTCTTGTGTGCTTTTCTTTGGCGGGGGGGAGTTCTTCGTCTTTGCCGTCTGTTCGAGCACGTGACATTTCCTTCGGTATTTTCGCTACGTGTTGCCTTCCTTTTCTCCTGGCGAGAGCTGGCAGGAGGAAGGAGGCAGAGCCGTACGTGGGGATTAGTGACCGACAGGGGCCGTCTGGTGCAGCGATTCACAGCGGCTTGTGTTTCCAGGCAGCGGACCCATCCAGCTGTGGCAGTTTCTTCTGGAATTACTCACTGATAAATCCTGTCAGTCTTTTATCAGCTGGACAGGAGATGGCTGGGAATTCAAGCTCTCTGACCCAGATGAGGTAAGAAAGGAGTGGCTAGAGTGCGCTGCGTTGAGGAAGGGTCGGAGAGAACCCTGGGAAGGGGCTGTGTGGGGCTGGAGGACATTTTCTAGGATTGGGATCCCAGCTCTGTCACTTGCTACTTGTGTGACCTTGAGCAGGCAGCCGTGTCTGGGCCTGAGTTTCATCATGTAGAAAATAGAGAAAATATCTATGTTACCCATTTGTTACCCAGGATTAACTGGTATCATGCACATCAAGGGCCTGGCGCTTAGCCTTTTATCAGTAGAGGCGCCTTCCCTGACTTAGCGCTCTCCCTAGCCCCGTGGCCGTGAGTGTGAAAGGGGCCAGACAGTTCGAGAGGCCTTGGAAGACTGAGGCGATTCGTTCATTAATTTATTCTTTCGTTACACAAACGCCCATTGAGTGTGGTTCTGTGCCATGCCCAATCCCGAGGATGAAAAGCAATGAACAAGAGAGACAACATCTCTGTTCTGACAGACATGGGAAATATTTATGCCCTGCTGCAAAAAAACACTTCCTGTTGATGAAAGGCAGGTATGATTGCAGCTCAGCCCCTCCCTCCACGCCCTCCGTTAGCTTCACGCTTTCAAAGCAAGGAAATTCTACGAGTAATACGGAGAAAGAGGAGAGTCTGTACTGTGGCTTTTCTTTTGTTTTTCAAAATCAAATATTTAACCTCATTCAAAGTTCAGGTCACTGTGTTTTCCTCAACTTGACTACCATCCCTGCCCAACCCTTGAAAAATGGAATTCAGAAAAGATAGGTCAGAAAAATACCTTCCGTAGCTCCCTGGATCTCTGTCTCAGTTGAACGTCACGGGGCGCCATGGATGGGTTCAGTATAGGCATGTAACATGCATAGTAGGGTCACCCTATCGATTTTTACCTATTCTTTTTTCAAAAATTATAGGTGGCCAGGAGATGGGGAAAGAGGAAAAACAAGCCTAAGATGAATTATGAGAAACTGAGCCGTGGCCTGCGCTACTATTACGACAAAAACATCATCCACAAGACGGCGGGTAAACGCTACGTGTACCGCTTTGTGTGCGACCTGCAGAGCCTGCTGGGGTACACCCCCGAGGAACTCCACGCCATGCTGGACGTCAAGCCGGACGCCGATGAGTGATGGACACAGAAGGGGCCAGGGGAACCTTGCTGAGACCTATTGAAGGACAACCGCATTGGTCGGACTCTTAATTTTTAATTGTTATTCTATTTTTTATTTTCCAGAACTCATTTTTTACATTCAGGGGTGGGAGCTAAGTGAGCTGCAGCTATAATCGATTGTGCACGGTTGGAGAAGGAAAACTAGGACTTGTGGGGTGGGTGGGATAAGAAATTTTTGAGCAAATTTTCAGGAGAAAGAGAAAGAGGTCTTCTTAGAAGCTGGAAGGGTCTGGCTTAAGGGGGGACGAGACTAACGTGTCCATTCATTTTTAGAAAAATCATTCACCAAAAAAATGTGTCTTGAGTTATGAACCCATTAGCAAGAGTCATTGCCACAGCAAAAGTTGCCAGGCTGATGAAAGGAAATTAACTCGCTTTTGTTTGTAGATCTGGGAGGGCAGAAAGAGGGGGTGGGATAAAATATTTTTGGGGGAGGATGCCCTAAAAACTGAGAACTATTTACCTTTCACTCTTCTTTTGAAACAAAGATGGACTTCCATGGGGAGGGGGCCAACACAGTTTTTGTGTTAAAATTTATTTTATTAAATTTCGTGCCAGTATTTTTTTTCTTAAAAATCGTCTTAAGCTCTAAGGTGGTCTCAGTATTGCAATGTCATGCAAGTTTCTTTTTATTTGCCAGCTGAGGATTCTGTCACAGTGAAAGAAAACTGTTTATATAGACCCCACTGGAAAAGCAAAGCGCTGTCACTGAGATCAGGGATCCCAAATTCATGTGACTTACGTATGAAGGAAAAATTAATGTTGATTTGGGTATGGGGAACTATGCATGTGAATTTCATCTACAATTTTAAGAAACTTATTATTACACCGCTTGACTTGTTATTAGCAGATTCTCGGGGTTTGGACTTGATGTTGAGCTAAGAAGCATTAAGTCTTTGAACTGAATGTATTTTGCAGCCCTTTGAACCACATAAACATAGGAGCACTGTTGAAGTCATGGAAAGGAAATCAAAGGGGGAAGATTGGCTTGGTTCTTTCTTAGTTCTACACCTGTAACATAGAAGAGTTGGAGTAAAAGCTGTATGCGTGGGCATTACCCCTCAGGTCTTAAGAAACAAGTCCTGGATGCGTGTCGTTCCAAACTAACACTCTGTAACTTCTCTTTCATATTTTATTTTTTCCAGCATCCTTCGTTTTTCGCTCACATTCCCCCTCCTCCCCATTGTGCATTCAGTAGAGAGAAGCGTACAGCTTTCTGATTGGTGAGTGAGAGAGTGACTTCAGACAAGACATGAGTTGAAGAGTTGACCTTGCTGGGTTTTAGAAGTGGTGGAAATGAAGAGAGCATTTCAGTAAGATGGGACTTGGCTGTCTTTGGGAAGAGAAGAATTTAAACCAGTGGGGTAGGGTGTCAGGTGAGACTGTGCATGCCGGTACACGCAGCGTGAGGGCCTCGTGCTTGCGTCTGATGTCTTGGCCCAGGGTAAGTCAAGGTTAATTGCAGAAGAGAGGAATGGCTTGAAGGCAGAAGAAACAAGAGAAGGAGCTTGCATGAAGAAAGTAAGGTGTCCATGACATTTGAATATGTTTTGAGTTCCCCCAAAGTTCAAACACAAACATAGTCAACTGAGGTAGTCATCTTTCTGCTGGTTTTGAGGAGGGATCTGAAAATGGGATTTTGGAGGGAAACCGTCATCTACCTGGTGAGAGCAAGTGCCTAATACAATTAGAATCCCTCCCACTGTGTAGCTGCCCAGTTAAAAGGATGAGGAAAGAGCGGTGGCTTTTTGGACTCGGTGAGAGGGGAAGACACGTTCGAGATGAGCTGCTCAGGGCTGGCTCCTTTGGGATTTAGCTTTGAAATTGGAAGTACTAACCACCTTCTAGCATTTCTTCAAGAAAGCTGATTGTTTACTCCCAGATCCTCTTGCAGACCCCGAATTGTCAGGAACTTAGCTGTGTGGTTCATGAATGTCCTCACGCTGATCAGTTGGAGAGTCTACATGAAAAGCAAAGGCAAAATTATCCCAGCTGTGTATTTTGAACTTTTGGATGCAGGTGCCTTAATGAAGCTCTCAAAATATTTTAGGAGCTGCTCAGGGAGCGTTAGGTGGAACTGTTTGGACTACATTGTTTTCTCTTAGATTCTGTGATCTTTGTTGGGCACTGGCAGAGGGTGTGTGTGAGTGAGAGTGTGTGTGTGTGTGTGTGTGTGTGTGTGTATTTGCAGACATGCAAAACTGCAGCTGAAATAATACCTGAGTTTTCTAGTTAAGTCTTTCCACATTTCAGTAATGGGTGAGGGTAGAGCCAAGGCTGGGTATCAGTCATTGCTTGCTGTTTGCAACCAGGCATAAAATCACTTTCCTAAATCATCAGTCTTTCCTATTAAATCGATGCTGAAAACTCCCCTTCTGTGAGTCTGTCTAACCCTGCAATTCCTGGAGCAGATAAGATGTAAGAAAGTGCCTCCCAGTGTTCCTCAGCCTGCTTGTTTGCTAAGAGTCCCTTTTTCTCTAGGTCCGCCGCTGTCGGGATTTGTAGGTAGTGTATTAAGACAGCTTTGTGTATCTGGCCAGATGCTTTTTCTCCTTTTGTCCAAAGGCCAGAGACCATCCCAAGAAGAGTGGTGGGTGGTTTATACACTGGAAATGTAGCATAATTGTTGCATTTATGCTTTTTAAAAACACATGTTAACTTCAGAGGGAGGATGGGCAAATCTGGTCTAGCTGTGTGAAACCATTATTTTCCTGGAGATGCCTTAACCTATATTGGTTTTGGCTTTAGGGTTCAGAGTCACTTTTGTTCCCTTCTCCATTCAGAAGAGGGACTTCCCTGCACAGAGCCCTGATTTGTGGCCGTGGGGATTGGAGGTAGCATTCAAAGATCAGATGTGCTTTTCCTCACTTTGGAGACAAACACTCTGGGTTTTAGAGCATTAACCTGCCTAACCTTCATGGTGAAAAATACACCTTCTGTCTTCTAGTCATGCTGTGCATGCCGCTTTCTCTGTTGGGGTCTATATAAATTTGTTACGCTCTTACCTACATTCCAAAGAAGTTTCAAGGAACCATAAATATATGTATACATATACATATATAAAATA